CCCCTTCCTCCCCGCCGCCGTCGCTGGCGCCCGCGGCCGGCCTGGCCCCGGGGTCGCTGGTGGCGGCGGCCTTCCTGCCCTTCCCCTCCCGGTGGCTCCGGTGCGGGGCGGAGGTTGCACCAGGGGGTGCTCCTAGGCGGCGGCGGCCCTGCTGGCGGCAGGGTTCCCTGTCGCAAAGCAGGCGGGCGGCTGGGCGGCGGCGCCGTCGTTGGCGGCGGGGTGGCGCTGTGCCTCATCCTGGCGACAGTGCTCGGCCCAGATCGAGGCCCTACGGAGCCCATCTGGGCCTGGGCGGGCCGGCGGTGGGGCTGGTTGGCGGCGTGATTCCCGGGATGCAGGGGAGCGGCGTTGCGCGACGGGGGCTGGCGGCACCGATGCCAGCTTGCTGCAGCACGGCCGGCGGGGCTTAGCGGGCCCGTTTCGGGCCTGGCCGGGCTAGGGGTGGCCTGGTATGCCCCGCTGCCGTGTCCGGTGGGCTGCCGCGACAGTGCCGGAGGCACGACTTCCCGCACGACGGCGGTAGAGGTGGTTCCCTTCCGCTCGGCTTTGGTGTTGTTGTTCTCGTCGCGTGGCGCTTCTCTCTGGTCTTCTCGGCCTCGTGGTGGTCCTCGTAGTGAGACGGCGTGGGCGGTGGCGCAACCGCGGTGGCGCATTGGGTGGTTGTTTGGATGGTTGGCTCCGGATGAGCGGTGGTGTTTGGTGTGTGGGAGAAATCCTTGCCGGTTCGTCTGGCGCCGTTGCGGTGACACCGGCGGGTGCCACCATTCCTTCTTGAAGGGCGTCGGTGGTAGCCATCCCCTACTTTCCTCCGCATACCGGGGGAAACCCTAGGACTTGTTCGGGCAGCAGCGTCGTCGGCGTCGCATACCTTCTTGGAGGTGTTGGTTGGTATGTGGCACTCGGAGCCTCGGGCTGTGGTCGGGTGTTTCCGGAGGGCGCAGCGGTGGCGGGCCTTCCGCGCTTTGTCGATCTGCCGTTGTTGGCATTATGTTTCTTCTCCTTTTTTTTGTCTTTGGGCTTGTTGTGCTGCTCGCCCTAGCGTCGAGATGTATCCTATGTTGGCTGGTTGCTTTGGAATACAAAGCGGGGGAAAACCCTTTTTCGGTAAGCGAGGGGAAGGGCATTGTGAAGGTGAAGCATGGTTTTCATTGAGAAGAGCTGGCAGGGGACAAGGCCATCGGATCAGCGCATGCAATGTCGCAACATGATTCATTTGGATTAGATTACGGTGGGGCCAAATGTTTGGTATATGCGGGAGCCTATAGTCGTAACTGGGTAGGCATTGGTTGGCTTGCTCATCATTCGTGGCTGCTATACCAAACCGCGTAGGCGCGTAGCAGAGTCGTATCGAGGGCATGGTTATTGGCAACTTGTGGGGAGGGGACAGCGATGGGTTCCAGATTGAGGGATTGAACAATTTCGGTGACGGTGAGCACTCGCTTCCACTATCTATGTGCTTTCTCCTGGAAGATAGCTAAAGTGCATTTTGACATTGAGTTTGAAAAGCTTTGCTTCGGTCTAGCACATGATGTGTCTGTGTTTAAGCTGAAGCACGTCTCTGACGCATCTTGGGTTCCATATGTATTAATAACAATTTCAATGTGACGTTTCAATGGTAAAAAACCGGAGTCGCTCCCGCGGGCGACTCTGGGAGCCAACCCTAGCGCCGCCGCTTCCCTCCCTTTCCTCGCCGCCGCCGGTGGCGTCGCCGGCCAAAGGCCGCGCGGAGTAGGCGGCGGCGGGGCGTCTTCTTCCCGCGTGCTGGAGGCGTGCGTCGCGGGGCGCGGCCTTCTGCGTCGGCGGCGACGGTCGTCGGCCCGTCCACGGGCTCTACTTCCTCCCCCCGGCGTGTGGCGTCCCGATGGTCCTGCCCCCCTCCCCTTCCTTTGCGGCGGATCTTGGGGCTCCGGGGGCGGGGGCCTTGCTGGCGGCGGATCTGGGTGCTCCTACCCAGATCCGGGTGGTGGCGGCAGCAGACGTGTGGGTGGCGGCGACGACCTGGCTAAGGTGGTGGCGGGGCGGCCGGTGGTCAGGCTGCGCCTTTCGGGGTGGAGGGGCGCCGGGCATCCATGGCCGAGAGGCGGGCCGCGTCTTCGGCGGCATGCCGCAGCTGCTGCAAGGTGGCTAGGGGATGCTCCTCGGGGTCTCGGCTTGGATGTGGGCTGCCACGGCGTGGTGGTAGCTCATGGTGATGGTCTGGTTCGTTTCACGGGGGCGCCCGGTCCCCTCCGGCGTTGGCCGTCTGTGAGTGGCCTGCCTCGACCTTCGATTCCTCCCCTCGTCGTCTGGGCTCTACCCTCGTCATAGGGCTGGTCCGCTCCCAGTTGCGGTCCATTGCTCGTCTCGTGCCCGTGGCTGCGAGACCGAGCTCGTCTCGCGCCCGGCGGCAGGACCGAGCCCATCTCGCGCCCGGCGGCAGGACCGAGCCCCGTCTCGCGCCCGGCGGCAGGACCGAGCCCGTCTCGCGCCCGGTGCAGCAGGACGGGTGATGGAGGCCTTTTTTGGCCGGCCCTTTGGGTCTCGGCGCGGGGGGCTGCCCAAGGGTGTGAAAAGGAGCGGCCTTTCCACTCGTCTCTTTGGTTGGGGTAGCGACTGGTCTCGGGTGAGGTGGGGTCAAGGTCTTGGATGTCGGGGCGGCGGCCGTGGTGGTGGTAGCGCGGTGCTCACGGGCAGAGCCTGTGGCTTGGTGCTGCCCGGTGACCATGGTTGTGTGGGCGGCATGGTGGCAGGGGTGTGGCGTTCGGTGCCGATGAGTGTTTGCTGGGGTGAAAACCTGTTCTATCTTCGGACGGACCGGCGGCGACGTAGCACGTTACCTTCTTGAAGGCGTCGTCGCGGCTCTCACCGGTCATCGTGTCGCTCCAGGGGTAACTCTGACCCTCGGGTCGGGCGGTGGCGGCGCGTTGGCGTCGTAACCTTCTTGGAGGCGCCGCCTTGGATCTCACGGTT